TTTCAATATCAAAACGACGTCGTTTTGGGAATAAATGCAGATAATTTATCTGCAGTAACTGCAGAAATATTTTTTCCATATATATATATATATATATATTCTTGAAAAAGTCAAAAATATTTGTGAAATTTAATTTGTTAAATTTATTTTTGAAAATATATTTATTCCGAATAACTTTATCTCATACAAACCAAAATGATATCCGGGTTTAGAAAAATAAAATGAAGGTATTTTAAAAAATGTATTTTGCTTTTTTATTATAATTTCATTAAAATATCGTGAATTTTTTTGCCAAATTTCTAAACAACGTCATTTTGGAATTACATGTGCTTTTTGACCCTTTTATCCTTCATTAATTAATTAATAACTATTTTGTCCCTCATTCAAAACTATCTATCAATCTGCCCGTCTTTAATCGATTAACTTGAAGATTTAATCGATTAAATAGTCAAAACTTGCAAAAATGGTTGACTTGAAGATTTAATCGATTAAATCTTCAAGTTAATCGATTAAGAGGAATATTTAATCGATTAAATCTTCAAGTCAACTATTTTTGTCAGTTTTGACCATTTAATCGATTAAATCTTCAATTAATCGATTAAATAGGAGAAGATTGATAGATAGTTTTGGATAAGAGGCAAAATGATTATTAATTAATTAATGAAGGGCAAAAGGGTCAAAAAACCAATTACATGAGATAACTTTTTTTTTTGGTGAAAATTACATGAGATAACTTTATCTACTATTAGAGGAGAAATGTCAATCCCATTTATATTTAAAAATATTAATTAAGGAGAAAGAGAGAAAAATGGTTGCATGCAAATCAAATTCCTTTCCTATTCTTTATCCGTATATCACCAAGTAATAATAAATGAGTTTATATACAAGTAATAATATATTTACTGTTAATTTCAATAATTAAGATTATGATATATTTAAAATTAAATTAAAGGTGCATATACTTTTATTTTAACATTTTGAAAATAAATTATTTTAATTTTTTTTCCTATCACTGAAATCAGTTTTATTCTTTTTCGTTTACGAGTGTCGAAATGAGAGATGTTGACACTAATTTTTTTATGGTCTAAGGTGTGCTGCATTGGGTTGAAGTTACTTGGGCATAAAATAAAAAGAATGTAAAATTAAATTTGGGCTACAAAGCCCAAAATATATTTTCCCACAACAATACCAAAACCGATTTTATTTCCCGTGTAATGCCCAATGAACATCATTTCCTCATAACACTAATCATTTGTTTTTTTCTTGGTGCACTTATTTTTTATTTTTTTAAATATTCCAATCGATTCATCGCTTCGCAACTAATCCGATTCAAGGCGGGTCCAAGATTAAGGCTTTAAACTCCTCCTAAAGATGATACTGGAGGGATTCAAACATATGCTCTAACTCCACCTGGTGCACTTATTTCTCAGCATGAGATGCAATACGCTAAATGGTAATGGGCTTTTAACACGCAACCAGGTACCAAAATTTTAGCAACATCGACCAAAGTGTGATTATTTGACAATTTTTTTTTACTTAAATGTCATGTGAACAGTATTTTTTATCAGACTGTCACATGACGTAATTCGCTACAACTGGTAGTGAATTATGTTCAGTAACAATTTTGTGACATGTGACACATTTTTGTAGAAAAAAGATAACTGGATGAAATTCGTTACTAGTGATAGCAAATTTGATACACAATGAGGTCATGTGTTACGAAATTATTGGCGAATATAATTCGCTACCTGTCATAGCGAATTATGTCACGTGACAGTACGATAAAAAGTATTGTTTGCATGGTCTTTAGGTAAAAAAATTTGTCAAACAATAACACTTTGATCATTGTTCCAAAATTTTAATTCTCTTCAATGTCCTATAAATCTTGTCAGAGTATATCATTTTACTCTTACTCTTTATTCTAATAATTCATCATAATAATAAATTATTTTATTCTATTTTTTAAATTTTAAGAACAATTTTATTTAATTACCAAATAATTTTTAACATTTTTTTAAAGAGAAACTTTAACTTAAAAATAACTTTTAACTCAAAAACAAATAATAAATAATACTTTAAAGTTCATTTCACTCCGTACTTTATAAAGTATTAACAAAAAGTCACGTGAACGTTGTTTAATGATTTTGTTTTCATAAAAAATATTTTATTAATTAAACTATGATATTAAAAGTTTTAATCATATAATTTGAAAATAATAGATAATTTATCAAATAAATTATATTAATGTGTAATATGAAAAAGGAGGGTCTTTTAACTTTAATGTAAAATTAAAAAGTCTTATTTTTTATTTCAATTGTTAGTCTCTATGCATCTAATGATTTTAGTTCAACGGCGGATGATGGAGAGTAAGATTTATTAATCATGAAGCCTTGTCTATTTTTTCTCTAATCATTAAGTGAGAAAAAAAATGTTATTCCCATTTTGTTTTGCATTATCGGCCAAAGCTGGTGCACAATACTCGGGCTTTTCATGCAATGGAGTGCACCATACTCCAAATGTAGCTCAGTTGACAACTGAGCTTTTAAGGGTATGTTTGAGTCAGGATTCAAATCCTACTTTAAGTAAATTCTTAGAAAATCTTTGTGGGTCAGAAAATATGTCTCTCTCCTCGAATGAGAGATTAGTCTCATCCTTCTTCGGTAGCGAAGCTCAATGCACCTGCGGTTCTAATGAGGGGTTAGTCTTCAAGGCCGTACCCTGAGGGCAAGGTGACCGGAGGAGGTTGAATGAGGATACTTCCAGGTTAATACTAAAAATAAAAAAAATTAAAATATAATTTATTTTCTCTTTTTTTAAACCAACCTTCTTGCTTTTACTTGTTAGGAGAGATACAGATTTTTCAGGTTATATTCAAAGAGTAGAATTGATTCACAAAAAAGTTTAAACTAAACATAGGAGAATTCGATGTGCTTTTTAACAGAGTTTTTTTTATTTAAAATGATTTAGTTTATGTTTGTATTAATTTATTTTATATTAAAAAAAGTAATCAAAAAAAATATAAAAAGAACTAGAGAAATAATTTTTTGAAAAAAATTATTTATTAAACGGCAAACAGATTCAAACTTGGGCTATGAGGCCCAATAGCGCCAAAAGCGTACTTTTCTTCACTTTGTTAAGATCCAATGAACTAACTCAATCAACATTTTGATTACGAAAAATGTTATATTTATAAATTTTTTATATATAAATTATTACAAATTATATTATATCTAATGGTATTATCGGATATAATGTAATTTGTAAATTTGTAATTTTTTTTTGGCAATATAACCTTATTCTTTCACTACAATCAAAACCCTATTTCCCACTGTCTAGCAACTCTAATTATTTATTTCTCTTTTCTTTACACACGAGTGATTAAATGAGAGACGGTTACTTCTAAGCATGATTTGCAATTAACTACATGTATCTAATAATCTAATTTCATCAATGTCCCAACTCTATTTTTTTTAATAGCACACAACTCTCTTGTTGACAAATAACTTGTTGAGCTAGTATCTAATAATACAATGAATATATTAAAAATAGATTACAAGAAAAAATAACTTGTTGATTTATCTTATTTATAACATATATTGGATTTTAAAATTAATTTCAATCGGTACTTCCAATAAAAGTACAACAACAAAAACTGTGTTCAGTAATTTTTTTATAAATACTAAATTTATTAATTAAACTGTAATATTAAAAGTTTTAATTATATAAATTAACTTTATGAAATTTCATATTTAATTTAAAAATAATAAATATTTTATAAAATAAAATAATATTAATTTATAATATATTTTTTCAAAAATATATTATAAATTAAGATCAGTATACACTATATAATAAATTAAGATCATGGTATATGTTAAATTGAAAAAAAAATTATTTAAATATTTTAAAAATAAACCAACTTTTCAAGAAATTATTTATGATATAAGATATTGTAACAACCAATTAAGGTTACTAGTAATGTTCATACCAATTAATTTTACCGTTAGATCGACTATGTGGATCCAACGGTTATATTTATTTTCATCTTTGCATGGTTATGATTCCTCATATTTAATACTTTATATTTACAGAAAAATATTTTTGCAGTTACTGCAGATAAGTTATCTGCATTTACTTTCAAAACGACGTTGTTTTGGGATTAAAATATTAAAAAATTATAATTATAAATACTATAATAATCCTGAAATAAATTAAAATTATAAAAACACCATGATTTTCGCTCCAAAATGACGTCGTATTGGATTTACTGCAGATAACTTATTTACAGTGACTGCAGAAAAAATGAACCCTTATATTTATTTTCACATTTGTATGTTTATAATCAATCTCCTATATTTAATGTTTTCACATCAAATACGAGAAATCATAACCATATAAAATTGAAAATAAATATAACCATTGGATCAATAAATCGAACGGTGAAATTAATGGATACTAACATTGACAATAACACTAATTAATTGTTACAATATCCTTCCCCATGATTTTTTTTTTTTTTTTTTTATAACGAGACCAGGTCTTATCCATTTTAATCTAATCACCAAAAATGTTACTCCGAAGTCCGAATTTTATTTTGCTTTTGGTCTAAAATGTATGCACGTATTCCAACTTTTTATGGGGTGAAGTCTGATTTTTTGAATCTGCTTATTTTGCTACGTCCTAAAAATATTTAAAAATAATTTAATATTTATACTTTTACTTGTCAGGAGAAATACCAAAATTTTAAAGTTACATTTTAAAGAAAGAGTAGAATTGTCGCACGAGAAAATATTTTTTTTTTATTTAAAATGATTTGGTTTATATTTGTATTAATTTATTTTATATTTAAACAATAATGAAAAGTTATAAATTGAATTATAAAAATAATAATTATTTTTAAGTCAAATGGGCTCAAACATGGACTACGAGGCCCAAGACCCAGTAGTTCCAAAACCCTATGTTTTATCTCGCTTTATAAAGCCTCAGTTAACATTCACACACTCTCATAACCCTAGAAATCTCTTCATCGGCTGAGAGCCAGGAACCCTAATCTCCTGTGTTCACGATGCAGATCTTCGTGAAAACCCTAACGGGGAAGACCATCACCCTTGAGGTGGAATCCTCCGACACCATCGACAACGTCAAGGCCAAGATCCAGGACAAGGAAGGCATCCCACCGGACCAGCAGCGCCTCATCTTCGCCGGAAAACAGCTCGAGGATGGCCGCACCCTCGCCGATTACAACATCCAGAAGGAATCCACCCTCCACCTTGTGCTTCGCCTCCGCGGTGGCGCCAAGAAGCGCAAGAAGAAGACCTACACCAAGCCCAAGAAGATCAAGCACAAGCATAAGAAGGTGAAGCTTGCTATCCTCCAGTTCTACAAGGTCGATGACTCCGGCAAGGTCCAGAGGTTGAGGAAGGAGTGCCCCAACGCCGAGTGCGGCGCCGGAACTTTCATGGCCAACCACTTCGACCGCCACTACTGCGGAAAGTGCGGCTTGACCTATGTCTACCAGAAGGCCGGTGCCTAATTTATTGGGTTTTCCTTAAAGTATCGAATTTCTCAATTTTATTGTTAAAGTTTTGATTTTTAGATTCGTAGACATTTTGGGTTATCTTTATGACTGCATGAATGTTTCGGTTCTAATATTTTTATCTTGAGACTTTTATGAACACCGTTTTGTGTTGGTTTATTTATGGTTCTCTTCAAAATATATGTCGTTGGTTATAAATCTGCTGAAGTTGGCATCTTTTCCTTTCGTTATTAATGATATGCGGCTCGCCTATATGAACGTATTTGATTGTCTTGATTATGATTGGCTTGTGTAGTGATTATATAATAGTAATCTAGGGAAGATATTGAATTATGGAATGAAACTGTAGATTTTTGTTTGTTAATAAAAATTAGTTTTTGGTTTCCCCCTGTTGTGAGAATGAATTGTTAGGCTGCTGAATTACAGAACGATCTTTTCGTTTCAAATCTTAAATTGCAGATTGGGTACTGGTTGAAAAATTATTGTTTTTAGTATACTTGATTTGATACGCTTTAAGAAGTTCGCTATGGATGCAGCATTCGGTTTATTTGTGCAATGCATTTTGATGGTTTTGTGTTGTCGTTCTTATTGTTTACAAATCCTTTCGTGGTTCTCTTTGAGCGAAAGAGTCTCAATTTGACTATGAACTGAAATACACTTTTTTTGAGTGTGGATGATTTCATTTGTTATGATGAGAGGATCCATTTCCCTCTTCTTGGTGGTGTAACACTGAGTCATATTTTCTTAAATTTGGATTAATTTACTCCCATTTTTTTTGTTGATTACAGCTGAATAGTGAAGTTAATTTGTTTTCCTTGTAACTCTTTTGATCATTGGCTTTACTTACTCGAGTCGGAAAAGTTGCTTAAGCCTAACTTTTGTCTCCCCTCCCCAATTGCTATACCATACTGAATCGCAACTCTCTGCTGTGTCAAATATAGGAGATTGGAGTGTAGTATCGATAGAAAATTGATTTGGGGTTCGCTTTGTATGTTCAAAAATTGTTCCCTTTTCAGCTGTGTGCTGACTCGAACACTTATGCTGGTTCAGTTTGATCACGTGCTTTATGTTGCTTTTTAATGTTTTTCTCGAAACTGTTCCGATCATTTTAACTGAATTGTTGAAAGATTAAATACAGATTTGATAATGGGTGAAATAATGTTTTCAATCCTTCAAGAGTGTTTTATTCCGTATCAAGAAAAATAGCTGATTTTCAGGGTTATATTTAAGGTGTTGATTTGTTTCACAAAATAATTTTAACTGAATACTGAAGAAATCGGTGTGTTTTTTAACGTGTTTTTTAACATGCGTTTATTTTCCATTTAAAATGAGTGAATTAAGAAATTATTATTATTTTTAAAATTATTCAACAGTACGACGTCTGAGAAGCCAGGTAAAAATGGGCTCAAAACTGTTTACCAAAAAAAAATGGGCTCAAAACTTCCAATTTGATCGTGTAGGGAAAATTGTAGATGGTGTGTTTTACCGAGTCATCTAGGAAGCTGGCATTGTCTTCTTATTCTTTTGACCAAATCAAGGATGTTTGAGGGTATATTGATATGCATTGCGAGCAGAGCTTATTTAAAAATGAGATGTTTCAAAAATTACCTGTATGATTTGTTGGGTATTATTTCCAATATTACAAGTTATCTTGAACAATTCTTCCAAACAGAGCTAGAACTTAAGCAATCGTTTAGACCGAAAGACTGACTATTTTTTAAAAAATAACAAATTTTCAATAGAAGTTGACGGGCTTATAAACGATGGCTGAAAAAAATATCTACCCAAATTGATACATATTTTTGTTTAGGTGGATAAATAGTTACATGTTAACCTTTTGATTTGCAACTTTTGGGTTTTAGTTCAATTTTTTAATGTTTGGTTTTATTGTAATAAACTCCGTACAAATCTATAATCTTCTCATTGTAGTTTATTTTCTTTTTTATCCTTTTTCTTTTTTCTTTTTAAATTAGACCTACAGCAACTTCAACAAAAACTCTATTTAACTGGAGTTAGTTAGAGTAAAAGACCTTAATAAAATACTACTCATGTTTTTACGGATTTGAATTCTAGATTCTATTATTTCAAATAGACTTTTATCCAATCGAACCCGTTGGGTGAGCTTACTTCTCAATCGAATCCTTAATACTGTTATTCATTCACTGAGATGGATCATCAGATCTTGCTTAATCTTTTATTAAAAAAAATAAAATAAAACAGATTAACGATTTTGGATTTCTAAAGAATTCAAGTGAGAGTCACACTTTTAAAATTTCTAGGTTCCACCTTTTTATTCCCCCTTTCTAATTATATCCACGCGGCACTACAGAGATTGAAATCCCTCATAGCATCCACCAAATATATCTGGTTTTCAATAATTGGAATATTTTCTTGGTCTGTCAATTATATAAGTTTAAGAAAAGAAAAGATTATTCTATTTCAAAGCCTGTCATGCTATAAGTTTCGGCAAAAACATGTGATTTTATTTATAAATTGTGTACTAAGAGTATTTACAGAGGCAACTAAGTATTCTTTTTAACACCTTCTGAAAAGGATCTTCAGCAATTTTGTTTGATTTAATTTTGATCTAACAATAACAAAAATAATTATAATGAAAAAGGGATAATAAGTATAACCTCCCTTTTATTTAGATTGAAATTTATACATTATTCAAGGTTTAAATAAAAGGAGAAAAATCAAGTGAAAAGAGAAAAACAAAATAACCGAAAGAGGCATGTCTAGTTGTAAGCATAAATGTATGGGAAAATTACTCTTACGTTGTAGGAGAGTGTTTTTATCTCCTACACATACATCGATTTCCGTGTTACTTTTTTATTTTTTTTATTTTTCTATAAGTGGGTGGATCCTACACATGATTGTCTCTATAGCATGGGAGAGCTCTCTTCTATTGCATGAGATTAATAAAGCCCTAAATGTATATACATAAGATGCGGTGTTTTAGTGTTACATATATCGTTGTGGTCCATAGTAGCTAGCATATAACGTCGTACTGTGGTGAAGCGCTGCTATGAATGTAATACCCCGTTCTAGAACCGGTTTGTTAATCTTACGTATGGCATTAGGCGCAGTTACAATCGCACCAATTGAATTAAAGTACGGATAATCTTTTTCCTTTTTATTTATAAACGTTTATGTTTAAAATCAAATCCGTAATTAAAACAATTCCAATAGCTATAATCGTAACTTAAACTATGTGTGGAACACCTAATGTAATTTCATTTAAACCATACGTTACCACTATAGTGTGCCAAGTAGTCCCCTTAGACCAACATGGCTTAAAAACTCATTTTTATTATTATTTAACGCTAAACATCTCTACTTTTTATTTATTTAAGAAATTTTTTTATACCACTTTTATGGTCATCATCTTCCAATATGTCATATATTTCTTTGTTAGCTACGCGCGGGTTCAAACCGCGCTCAAATCGGAGCACCGTAGCTCAAATTATGAATTTTTGAAGAAAAAAAGTTGAATTTCACAGGGATCCCGCGCTGACAGCGCCAAACCCGTGCTGATAGCACCAACTTACTGAATTTTTCGCTTCTTACAGCGTCGACATCGCCAACTTGGTGCTGATAGCACCAACCCACTATTTGGTGGCCTGAAGATTTCACTATATTTTGATATTTTACCCATAATTTGAGTTATAGATATCCGTTTGACGCAATCTTGGTCTCGTTGAAAAGCTAAGAAAAAGATCTATAACTTCCATTAAGACACAAATGTCCAAATCTATCATATAGGATATGAAAAATGGACAACAAGACATGACATCTTTTTTTTTTTACATTAATTCCCAAGCTAAAGGTCTTCTTTCACCTAATTGGCATTGTATAACTACTACAAGACATCTTCCTTACAATTTTAATATATGATTCTTGCCATTTCAAGGCTCACATGATATCCAAAGAGGCTCAATTACATCAATGTGCTTCAAAATGATTACATACCAAAAACTTAGAAATAACAAGTGATCAAAGTCCCATCAGGGCAATACAACATCAATGATCAACTTCTAAGTCCTAATTGCATTCATCTATAACTAATGCATCAAAATATCTCAAATATCATCTATCATATGCAAAGCTACTCGTGCCCTTTGCCTCGCCCAGTATCATCTCTGCTAACACCTGAAATAGCAGTCTCCAAACTGGGTGAGATAAAACTCAATAAACCCAGGGTTCTTGGAGAATTACTCCAACCCCAGAGTTCACTTCCTGCATGAAGGGTTAGTATACACATGGCATGAACTACATCATATATCCAGAGGCAATAACAGTAATGATTTAATCACAGCATACTCGTGCATTCAAATGACCAAAGAATTAAACAATCAAATCAACACACACGCTTCAGTTGCATCTTAGTCCTTTCCACTAAGCCTGCAACCTAGCCCCTAGTGTTTGTCCATTGGTCTTTTATCCAATGACACAACAATACTATATAAATGCAAACATACCAAAATACTAACATTACCACTCAATCATCCATTCATTAACCATTACTTCCGTAAAAGCAATGGTGGAACCACAAGAGGGATTAACCTCCAAGATTCAAAGGTTTACCTCTTGAAGCTTCCCCTCATTTTTCAATCTTTCTTCTAGCTCACTTATCCACACCAACGTTTCTTGGTATGTTCACTTGACAATTCCTCCCAATCACCAATACACCATATTCAAGAGTGTGAAATCAGTCAACATACATCCATGAATACCTCTATCTTCATCAACAACATAGAAAATTCACACTTTTAAGCATAATTTTCCAAGATTGTTAAAACTAACTCCAATCACAAATTAACTTCACTTCTACCATTTATTTACCATTTCTAACAACTTTTACAAATGAATTTAGTCTTAATCTCTCTCTAACATACCCCATTATTCATGCATTTTCATAAACCAAAACCCTAAACATGAACCTTAATCAAATTAACCAAAATGGATGGAAAACTTACCACAATCCAACCACATAGGTTCAAGGAAGGATAACCAAGAAACAAGGAGACAATGTTTCACCTCAAGTTCCTCCACTTCAAGATTTTCGCCACCTTCCACAAGGAATATCTCACTCCACCATGGTTCCCACTCAACACTAAGTTAGGGTTATGAAAGAGGAGGAGATTTGGAGTGGTTTTGGCTTTGGAATGAATTGATTTGGATGAGAAATGAGAGTTATAGTTTAGAGCTCAACTTCCACGGCTTCTCACCCTCCCCTCCACGGTTTGGTCGCTAGAAGAAGAAGAAGAAATGAGATTATCTGGGTTGGTGTTTTGTCACTTATAAAAGGTTAAGTTATCTCAACCGGGTATCAACTCATCTATTTAGTTAACTCCACTCACTTCCAAACTTTATCCAAAGGCCTGGAATAGTTTTCTAGTAATATTTTTACTAATAATTTTATATTTTGGGTACTTTTTCCTACACCCATTTTTATCCCTTAATTATCACTAACTGCACTTTTTACCTCAAAAGTGACCCTAATTAATTTAATTAGGTCTTTTACTTATTTCAACCCACTTATACATGATAATTTACTTAAATACATGTAATTCATTATTTACTTAGGTTAGCGATATTATAATGAAAATCTGATCCAGCCCAAGTGTTTTCTGGCCAAGGTGAGCTAGTCCACTATTCACACTATTTCACAGACCTTGTGGTATGATACTATGTTGTAAAAATATTATATATTGAAAATTTATTTTTTATTTTAATATATGAATATTAAAATAATATATTAATTTTTGAGAATTGCATTGGTTAATCCCTTATCAGGCCTGATCCTACTCTCCTAGGCCTGATTAAGTTATATATCATTTTGATATATAAAGTGATCCTGCTATATAAGCTTATACTATACAATAATCATACCAAATAGCTAAAAATGTCATAATATATAGTATAAGTTTATATATATTACACCAATCAGGGCCTTAGTGTTATTGTCTCAACTATTTACAAATGTATCCACGTTAGATTTGATGACTCTTTTCTTAGTGTCTTGTTAGTTATTGTTGCCCTATAATAGATTAATGATGATTTGTGTGTTTAAACTAAGACTTGTGATTATTAACGATGATTGTGTTTTTAATTTTTAATTTTTAATTTTGTTTTGTTTTGAGCATATATATGTTTATACTATAAATTATTTACATTGTATCTTCTGTTTTCCATATATTTGTTGTTGTTTTCTGTGAAGTAAACTTGTTCAAAGTATTTACTAACCAGACCACAATGTGAATGTACCCTAATTTCTTTTGGGGCGGGAAATTTGCCAACTGAGTTGGTGGAAACTTTTGATCCGACTTCAATTGACAACAGTGACACCTCAGTGTGTCACTCCAAGGCTTAATGATCTGATATTTGACTCGCCCATTTTAGTTCAAACTTCAAAATTTCAAATACTTAGTCCCTATCTTGAGGTTGAACTACTACATCCCACAATTATGAGATAACCTATTCCGGTTCTGATATGTATGTTAAAAGCTCAATTTACTCTGTTGATTTATAGTAATTTATGCCATGAAATTGGTGCATAGCTTTACACTTTATAGTCTTCTCAGGTTTATGTAGAAAGCAAAAGTTTCCGTGAGTCAAAGACTCCAAGGCATTCCTTATGTGCAATGACAGCTTTGAGTGCAGTTGTTCATATGGTAATATATCAAAAGAAGATAACTTTTTTCTCTTTCAGAGTGAGAGCAAAAGTTGCCATCTTCAGATAGATGCCATGGCTAAAGAAGCTTCTTATTGCTGTTTTATCCGACCAGATAAAAAGAAACTCAAGATGTCATAAAATAGTAAATTAGTCTCACTACAGTATGTCTTAGACACCACTCTTTTTTTTTTATATATAAATAAGATTGAGTTGGTTTAGGTAATCACTGGCTTATGCTAAGTGAACTACAAATAGGAGGCACTCTCTGTCTCGTACTTCAGCAAAATATTGCTGCTTTTTTGGGAAATCAGACCCCCATACTTTTCATTACATGTATAATTAAATCATTTCATTCTGTGAATTCTTTCCATTTCCATGAAAGAGGTTTTCCAAAGTCATTTTGAGTTGTTGTAAATGAACATTAAAGTAGGAGTGCATATAATAAATGAACAGGGAACATAAAGGACCACTGTTCAGGGTTGAGACAAATCATCAAAGCAGAAAAGGCCAAAATATAAACAATCGAAGGTGCCTAGAAAATGAAATTATAGTTGCAAAGGGGCCAAGTATATCTTTACGGATTACAAAACTAAAAAAATAATGCAGCAATAAGATCAGTATTTCTGCGGTTCTTGATTCCTACCTACCACGCAGCTTCCATTCATTTTGTTTGTGGGACATGGCTATTGATCATAACATGTGAAGATTTTTCACTAAATTGGTTCTTTGTGGAAAGAACTAGTCATAGTCACTCTAGATAGTTGGACTAGGCCTATAGGAATAGGATTGCCAACGATAGTTGTCTGCAATAACGCAGCAAGGGCAATTTTCGTATTAAAAGTTAAAACTCCCCTTTGTCAATGCAATGACACTCATGAAACAAAGATCTAATCCACTCTTTGTCAATCTCCTGATAACAAGTTTTCATCTTGCACTTCCAACGAGCATTGATATTTTCAAGACCATATTTGCACTAATTTTTCATGTTGTTGAATGAATATTGATCCTTGATCCTCGGATCCACTAATCCATCTCATGTACAATCACATGGGAGGGAGTTAAGGAAACAAAAGAAAAGAATTGAATGAAATCGATACGTGGTTAATGCAGAATCCTAGCTCAATGTGAAACAAAAATAGATGGGAAGTGACACATGCCAAGAGAGCACAGAAAGTGGGGAGGATCCTTTTTTTCATTGGTCAATTTCTTTTGCTGTCTTTCAGGAAAGACAAATCCTAAGATGCCTCTTTACCTTCTCTATGTGTCTTTATGGAAACTTACCCTTTCCTTCTATTATGGAAAATTTTGTGCACTTTCATTTTCATCTTGGACAGAGAGAAGGCTTGGAGAGGCAGGAGTGTCAATAAAAGAGAAAACAACACATGAAACAAACAAGTACTTAAGTCATTCTGCAAAGTACCATAGAACTTTGGGCCACTGCAACCTATGGAGAAGTTTGCCAGTGATGATAATGTTCAAGCAGACAGGTAAAATTATCATAGACCTTCTTCTCAGGGGTGTGGCTGTAATTTTACTCCCAACACTTAAATCCTAAGAGGCTTGAAACAAATTAAACTCTCCACGTCCATAAGAGACTATGTCAATGTTGGAGTGCTTTCCGGCAATGAAAATCACCATAAGTACCCCATACAACAAATCATTAAAGTAAGATGATGATTGATTATGAGTGTCCACCTTCAACTATAAATGCTTCCTTGTGTAAAAAGAGTTACATCTTCATCTCTCTATCTCTTCTTTCTCTTCCTCTATCACATAAAAACTCTCTCACCCCACACATTTAGACAGACACCTATGTCAACACTGAACCATCTTTTTGATCTTCCAGATCAGATATGTTACGTACAATGCGGATTCTGTACTACCATTTTAATGGTAATGAGTTCTCTACTCACTTAAACTATAACTGCACTTCTTGAGATTTTAATACCTCTTTCCCCTTTTGCCTTTTTCTGTATCCAATTCATTTCTGAGATGCAGGTAAGTGTCCCATGCAGCAGTTTGTCAATGGTGGTGACAGTCAGATGCGGGCATTGCACGAGCCTCCTCTCTGTCAATATGATGAAAGCTTCTTTTGTCCCTTTCCACCTTTTAGCATCTCTTAATCATCTTGAGGTAATAGGGTTACCTTTCCAATTCTCTATGTTTATTTACTTATACACTTGTTCACGTGAGTCCAATGATCCTCATACTTAGGGGTTTATATCATTTATTGGATTTTTAACTTTAAATGCAATTTTTAACTATCTCCAATCTCCAGCCAAAAGAAGGTAGTCCAGAAGAAGATGCAAACAAGACTTTGAAAAGTCATAGTGCATCCATGATGACCTATTCTGATTGTGAAGAAGATGATGTAATTCCAATGAGCAATGTCGTGAATAAACGTACGTTAGGCAAATGATAACTTTGATAATAAGAGCATGAGTTACTGAGTTTGAAGCAAGTTTTGGTAGACCCATATTTTCCTCATAAGTTTTTTTTTTTTATTTGATGAATGGTTCTCTGCAGCCCCAGAGAAGAGACAGCGAACACCATCAGCTTATAACCGCTTCATCAAGTAATGATTCACTAAACTAAGTTGTAAAGACCATAAGCTTCAAGCTTTGAATTCTAATGTGAGTATTAGTTTAATGCAGAGAAGAGATTAAAAGGCTAAAGGCTGAAAACCCTGACATGGCCCACAAGGAAGCTTTCAGTACAGCTGCAAAAAATGTAAGGTCTAATTTTTTAAACTGCTTAGTAGTTCAACTCATTTGCAAACTAGGCAATTTTCTAAGATTGGTGAGCCACGGGTATTGGGTAAAGAAGGGTATTTTTTTTAAGCATAATCCTGAAAATATTTTGTCTTTTTCAGTGGGCCAATTTCCCTCCAACTCAGTTCAAAGGAGATGAAGAGAGCTGTAGCCAGACAGATCAACTTGTGGACTCCAATGTGGACGTTCATGATGCTGAGGTAAAAGCATAATCATTTGAAAAACTGAATAGTTTCCTCATTTATTAAATAGATGGTTCTCTTATAACTGAAACAAATTACTTTAGCTAATTAAAACTTGTTATTAGTAGGGAGTTTCTTTGGTTTGGCACTGTGTGCATCTTTAGTGTCACTTGTCCCTTTCATTATATCACGGGGGAATAATAAAGGTAGGCTCCATTCATTCAATAACAAAGACCTATCCTCCTGGTGGTTGCCAACCAATGTGACATCGAACCATTTAGAAACTTAATGTAGATTCTTAATAAATTATGATCAGGGGCACATTTAGTATATGCTATTGATTAACGTGGCGCTGTCAAAATATTATGCTTTTAACTTTTAACATTTATGTACTTTAATGTACTAATTCTTGGTACCCCTTAAAAGTTAGATTAGCATGTGTTAGAAGCTATGCATCAACAAGAAATTTGAAGAAGAGGACCTAAAGTGGCAATAACACTTCACTGAATAGGACATTATGGTAATACTAAAATAAAATCACAATAGCTAGTCACTTTCCTAACACTGCGCTAACTTTTTCTTGGGTAATTGTAGATGTACTTCCCATACAACTTTAAGCCTACCCTTTTTCTAATCTAGTACTTTACCATTGTAATGACTGCAGTACTTCATGTGTGAAACTTTCAGGTCAATGAAGAAGGTCAAGGTTTCCGGGGAAGAAAGGTCCCAAGGAATTCTATCTTGGAAAGGACACCGTTTGAGTGAAGAAAGCTCAGAATATATGACATAACAAGAAAGCTGTTTTCTGTCTTAACATTAAAGTTACCTCTAAATTGTTTTCCTTATGAAGAAAAGATGCTCTTGGTAATGAAAACGAATTAAGTAGGGTGGAGACCTGACAATTTGAGACTTTAGGAAGTGCTTAATAATTGATAGTTTTATCTGACACCTTTCTGTTCGAGCATACCAGTTCCATTAATTAGTCTTCAGGATAACAGAAAATGTTTTTTTTTTTTTTTTGGTTGGGTCACAGAAATGTTTATTTAAGAGTTGCAAGTTATCAAGGGCAAGCAAATAGATAATGGCTATAGTTTTTCGTGATAGATGAATATGCATCACGTTTATTTGGAATGGGAACTCAATATAAGATATTATGTTAGACACATCGCTGAGAGTCAAGTTGATACAAAAGACTTCAATCCCTGTCACAATTATCATTCTGGCTAGTAGTAAATTTTATAATTAGTTTATATGTTTTCATATCTTTGTTTAAAAGCAGCTGATCAATAAATTTACATAAACAGATGATAACCCTCAAGTGTAGCATTACGCTTACGCATACTGTCATACACAATCAATCCAACCCAAAAATTTAAATTGTCTAGGATATATAAAATTGGTGATTGTGGTGCATTGTGCTTCCGTAGATAGCTGTGGACAAAAGAAAGAGAACAGAAGAAAGGGAATAGAAAATAAGCAAACAAATGCAAACAGTTCACTAGAGGGGAGGATATTCTTGTTGAGAGCCGCATATTTTAAGTTAAGGCCCAACATGTCTCCGGAAATCCAAACGTTATATTCACCTCATTTTGAAAGAGATAAGAGTCATCAAATCATGATAACTAAGTTGGTGTCATGAACTGAGTAGGTGAGAGTAAGAATATATGTTCGATTCTTCTTAATATATTTTTGGAAGATGTTTAAAGTCTTAAGCCTTGAACTCACTCCAAATTGGACTAATCATAAAGTGATAAATCGATTGGAATATCTCTAAAAAAGAAAAAAAGAAAAGAAAATAGATAAGAGTCATGTTGCCCCTCTCTTTTTTTTTTTTTTTTTCCTTTTTTATTTTTTTTAAGACTGACTTTCTTATGCTGGTAAAAGCAAACATGTGGATAAGTCTACAGCCACTCAAATTATGGCGTAAATTAATACCCCATTGTTGTCAATGAAACAAGAATGAGGTTCAATTATCCTAATCAACACCCTTGTGCATATATTCTCTCACTCAAAATGCATGTGTTATTCTTCAAGTCCTCGAAGTCTTGACTGACATCCACCATATATCTTGAATGGGTGGATTATTTAAATAAAATTTCTATCCTTCTCCCTCATAAAGAATTACTTTATGTTGAAAACGTATCTGCTTGTACAGAAACAAAGTTCACATTCATTACCATAGGCTATGGGACCGATTTGTTGGATGTTGAGTGCTTATTAAAAGGATATTAATAGGCAGACTTTCACTCAAAATAATGAAATTGAAAATAAAAATAAAATGGCAAACAACCTTAAACAACTTCTATTGGAAAGTAATGAAAAAAAGAGAGGCGATCATGCATGATTGATTATACTTCCCAAAATTCAATTCTGTAATTTCAAATAGCTGTAGGAAAAGAATATGTATTCCACGATCCACAATATGTGTATTCTTTATGAGAATGGACAAAAGAATAGATAATTTAATATGTTTTATGTGTTTTAATTATCAAAATATACCATGTCATAAAATCTTTCAATACACGGCTGGATTTATTAAGAATTTTTATCTTGTGAAGGGTTTACAATGCTAGTTTTCCATTTATATATATGGAATGAGATTTGCTGAATCCTTACATAGCTTAAGGGACTTGGCCTTATAGTTAAGGAGACGCATTTCTCATTGTTGATTGTATCTCAACATTTTGCCTTGACAAGTTGCTTATAGGGTAGGAGTCAGATTCTTTTGGTGGTAATGATTTCATAAGAAATTTAGGCAAGCTAATGGCATTTAGCACAAATTCTTAAAAGAGAATGAAAATGGAATTATGTTTTGTATATTCATTATCAATATTTTATGCGAGTAGTAACTGAAAGAAATAAATTCAATTACAATAAAAAAGTGTCAGTAAAGTCCATTATTGAAATATTTCAATAATTAACCAACCATTCGATATTCTGCAAGATATGACAACCCCCAAAAAAGAAGATGAAGCATAGAACAGAAATCATAAATATAAGAGTCGCCTTAGCAGAACAGCCATCGATAAGCAATGGTCCAGGCCATGTAGCTCTCAAAAGTCCAGGCATGAACTCAATACCAAAAACATTTTCAAATCAAATCATTTTGTATAAATTGTAGAAATGCTTACTTAATTTTTATAGTTAATGCTAATACTACCCTCAACTCCATAATCAAATATAGTGGTGAGCTCAATTGACTTAGGGTGCTTTTACTCCAGTTTCTCCCATTTTACTTTAGTTTCAGTTGATCTAGACTTATAGTTCTAGCGTTAGCTAAGGGCATGTGTAGCTGGAGCCTACACCTGGAGGGAGTAACAACAAATTATAATAACACCCGAGTGTTGCACTGCACCGGCTAAACCACATATTGATAGTTTCCCTGGCATTTTTATAGACTATTAATCCTGGCAATCTTCACGAGACCAGAGCGTTAGAAGCATCTAAAATACAGATACAGCCATAAGGGAGTATTCTCTCCTGGAGGAAAATCTCTGTAACCCTTTAGAGCTATGGAAATTCAACCAACTTTGCAACTTAGCAATTAATTGAAATTGTCATGGTTTCTGAGAACACCAATCATATAGTCTAAAATTAAACTACTAGGAATCAGTTTGATATTCAATTCAAATATGGGATGAAAATTTCAAGGGTAAAATTTTCATATAAAGCTCATCCCTAAATTAACACTACACTCATTATATAAAAAGGTTAAATTGCAAAATGGAGAGTAAGTCAGGTAGCAATATTCCTAAATATAAACTTACAACATGCATTAGTATCACATTTGACATTCATAAATAATCAGTTTTTTTATAACTACATGTCAGAAGTCTTCTGAAGTTTGGTTTTTCAGATCATTGTATGATACAATAATATCAAAAGACAGCTCTGTATCACACTGACTAAAATTAAGAAATTAACATAAGCTTCACCTTATCATAGCCCCTCTCAAGAACGGACAACAAGTACAATTGATCTGAACCACCATACAAACTAGACCTGCTTGTTGCAAAACAATTTGAAGAAGGTAAAGGGGAAAAAAGAAGAAGAAGACATTAACACATGGCCAGATCTTGTTCATCTGTAATTCCTTAAGCCTTCTTAACTGGGATCAGACTTGTCCAGAGCTGCAAACAATTGTATGATCAGTACAAAACCGAATGATATTGAAAAAATTGACACGCATAAAAGGAATAATAAAGGGAGACAGAGATTACTATTGTAGTTCAGTAGCTTCTCAATGAGGTCAACATGGGTCATAAGCATGCGCCTACAACAATAACGAACCAGCCCCAGAGCATCCAATGCATCTCTGCAATCCATCATTGAGTTAATAAAACTAGTATTGATCAGATGGTAGATATGAAAGGCCGTCAAGGAATCAAGTATATGGCTTTAATGTTTCTAAAGTGAATGTAAGTTATCTACATTCGCTCCTAAAACAACGTCGTTTTGGATTGAAAAATTAAAAATTTATAATGAAAAATACTATTATAACTCTGAAATAAATTATAATTACAAAAATACATTGATTTCCGCCTCAAAACGACGTAGTTTTGGGCTCACTGTAGATAAGTTATCTACATTTACCGTAGAAGAAACGAACCCCAAGTATATATATATATATATATATATATATATATATATATATATATATATATATATATATATATAATGGTACCTAATATCCCTTAAGGGATGCAGTTGGTGAAGAACAATATTATATGATAACTTTTTAGCAATAAAAATGCTGCAACAACAGGGCCAGAATTTATGCTTAAAATTCTTAAAGCCCATTTTTTTTTTTTTTTTTCTTTTTAAAGGGTTATCGATTAATATAGGAGGCCTTGTAGGAATGGGGGAAGGAACAAGAGCTATCGGGTCATTGACAAGTTCCGACAAATTTATTTCAAGCTAAATCATACACATTGCATGTAGCCCTAATATTATGTAAGGATTTTTTTTTTTCTTTGAAACTTTTGATTAATCTTCAAAAAAAAAAAAGCACAGAAATTTGAAAAGAGAAGGGTTAGGGTACTGACCCTTCACTGTAATCTGCCTGCAGAAGGTCCAGATAGGGATCCCATTTGTTTCCAATGACCTAAAATGGGAGAAAACGAAACAATTTGAGCGTCAATTAAGTAAAACCCTAAATCCTGAAATCGTTAAAAAAGGCCCAAACTTTAAAAAAGTTAATCTATGAGTTGCCTTGAAAAGAGCAAGAAATAGAGTATTGGATGAGTAGAGACCTTTCCACAGGTGAAACAACGAACGGGTATGATCATCTTCCTCTACCCCGTCTCTCTCTTTGTTCTTCTCTGCTTACACGAAACCCTTCTAATAATATTTGAGCGTGTACTATATATTAATCTTAACCTGAATTTTTTATTTATTACAGAGACCTTTTAATATTCATGAGAAAAAAAATATTACAATTAACTTTAAAGTTTAGTAAATTTGTTAATTACAGTCATTTGTTGATCAATGGTAACAGACAATTTAGCTACACTAAATAAATATGTTCTTTTCATGTTTTTTCAAAATATCAAAATAATATTTTATTGCATAGCATCTATATAACAATATTTTTAAAAATACATGAGAGGATTATCTAAATTTTCATTATACACAAAAATCTATATGGGCATAAACTATACAGCTAATTCACCTTTGTTTTTTTTTTTTTAATCTTTTGGTGTCCCTATATTTTTATTATTTTTCTTTTAATATATTCATGGATAGAATAGAATGAAAATGGCTTTGATACAGGCAACCTCTGACCTAATAGCCAGTTTGCGCTATCCTTGTAACTAAAATTAACATGCCTTGAGTCTACTAATTAGGAAGAGTTGTAGGTTTAAATCTATTTTATACGGTCGATTTTAAGTTAAAACAGAGCATTCTCAAATAATCTAGAGGCATATCCATATAAAATCTCAATAATTTAATTTATAAATTAGATACCCAGGAAAGTACTATAAATGTTTTCTTATCCTGAAAATATTTCAAGTTTTATCCTTCGCCTCTAAATTAATTTTTCTGACTTTAGACCCTATTTGTGTTCTAATTAAACTAATTTAATTTGCGCTTGTCTTTGTTTGCTTCTTTACAGGTGTTAAGATATCATTAATCGAACCACTGTTTTGTCTTTGTAGAGGAGAAACAAAATGAAAGAGTCCAACGGTTAGCGTAGAATTGAATAGTGTTGGGGCACTTTCTTATGATCATGGTCATACTTTATTTCAGCAAGCGAACTATGTGCTACCAATTGTATGCATGCGTTCAAGAATTTATTGTTTGTTTGATACTTAAATGAGTTATAAAGCATTACCCTCAAATCATTGTGTTATAACTACTGTAGGTCATAAACATTACGGTTGCAGGGGTATTTCCTTTGAAGGTACTTTACTTTCTCTATCATATCTTCCTACACAGCGCAAGCAATCCGTTGTTGCTGGTGCAGTTGAAGATGCTTGTGCTTGAAGAAGGCCAAAAAAATGAACTTTGACCGCCTCCATGCCCAATTCTTAAGAAATGAACGATGATTGAGGAGAAAGTTGGATAGCCAACAAGCTATGTTGCTATATAATTTTCTTTTGTCATCACCAACTTGGTATATTCATTGAATTTGACTAAATACACACATAGTTTAAGCTGGGCCTAAGACTTCATTATATGAGTTAATTAAAACAATATGAAAATTCCTCAAGCTTTAGCTATACATGAACGGGTGTTTTGAATTATGTTAGTCAAGTTCATTTAACTTTATTCTAAAGTGTTGAATTTGATTATATACGGGATTCTCTATTACCTTTGATTGTTAAATATAGATAACATACTACCTCAATCAACTGTCTCGCACAACTCTTTTGATGGCGTCTCAAAGATCATGACATTTATTTGTAGTGTGACCATACCTATCATTTTTTTTGTAAACAACCATACCCATAAGTAAATACGCAATGTTACTCAAGTCTACCTTTCCTCGATTTTGGATGGGTTTAGGCCTTTCAACGTGTCACTGTCACAACTCAGTTTGGGCAAATTATGTCTAGATCTGGAACCTCGATATGTAAGGGTGTACGCAGAGGTCAATGCTCTTAGTCTTGACCTTTGAGTTCCTTTTACTCCATTGCCCCTCGATGTCATGGCACTCGCCAAAAGGAGTTCTCTTTATACTCGACATTTGTCCTTTTGATTTCTTCCAAATCCACATACTTGGAGGACCTCACATTGAACTTGGTCAAGTTATTGATCGAGGTCTTGTTCAGAGACTTAGAGAATGGTGTAGTGTGGATACCGATTATGAGCAGGTGTAGATACAAATTTTCGTTCAAGTTGTAGACTTATATGGTTTCTGCATTGAACTTATTCAAATAGTTGTGAAGTGGCTCACCTTCTTTTTCTCGGATTCGTGATAGGGTCTGAGATGATTTTGGATGAATTTTGCTGGTAGCAAAGCTTAGGAAGAACATCTGGGAGACATCCTTGAATGAGTTGAAGGAACGGATAGCAGGGCGTTGAACCAATGTAGGGCTAGTCTAGTGAGAAAGGAAGCAAATACTCTACAAAGAACAAATATTTGGCTCACACGACGTACTTGGCCATCTTAAAGGCATTTAGATGCTCATGCAGATCTTTAATTCCATCATAGTGAGCTAGGTTCGGTTGTTTCTAGCTCTGGTGAATGGCAAGACCATGATGTAAATGGTAATTAGGTTATCCTCATGCTCCTCGTTTTAGATGGGTAGCTCATTTGTTTTGGCTTGTTCTCCTTTAGGTTGGCTTTGCTCGTGACCATGCAGCCTTGCATTTTCACCCTAGTGCTCACGAAACGACATTTAATGTCATCAAAACATTGCATCAACAGGGTCACCACAACTTGGATTGAATCAGGTTGATGGGTAGTCGCGTGGGGATTGGACTGGCTTGGTGGGACCGAATCTTCTTCTTGGTCAGCGCCCAAACCATTCATCTCTTGCGTGTTAGGCTTTGGTGGTGGCGGCAACAATTGTTGTTGCGATGAATGGTGGTTTTGTGCTATGTGTATTCACCATGATTGGATGTGAATCGAAGTTTAACGATTTTCACAAATGGTGCAATTGCTCAATTTGAGAGGATCGTAATTAATATGAGATTTGGGAGCTAGCGAATGATGTGGTGTGTATGCATAATAACAATAGAGAAGGCTAAGGTTTCACAAGTATACACTTGTGTGGATAAAGTCTAATATCTCTTAGAGCCTATAGAATTCATCACGTGAGTTTAGAACATAAAGCAAGAGAATATTATCAAATTCAAAATAAACTAATCATGTATTTTTCATAGAAGTCTGCCCTTAATATAGAACTCTAAAAATAAATAAAAGGAATACTAACACTTCAATACAACATTAGTATATAGGAAAAACACTTCTCCAACAACAGGAGAAGTTTCTTTTGCTGTATTAGTCCTTTCAATTTTCATTCAATTTTTTTGGAGAAATATAAATCCCTTAGTATTTCATGTTACCGGAAAGAAATCATCTCCCGCTATCTCACAATATTTCATTTTTTAAGTATTTTTATTAACTTAAATAAAGAGACCCACATAAAAAAATTTGAATGACATGAGAGATAAAACTACTTGCAACATTAGAAAAGTTTTCGCCTTAGTATATTGTATAAAATATGGGGTTTGAATTTGTCATTTAACATGACACAACAAACTTTCCTACACACACAATATTTTGTGGGGCCCACATTTTTTGAAGAAAAAATAAATAAATTACGGCACGCAAAACGAATCTCTATAAAATTACACAATCACTTTTTCTACAACATAACTCTTATAAAACCCATAAAATATATCAAAAGTCACGAGAAATAAAAAAATCACGTTCACGAGACAAGTGAAACACCATCCACATATACTTTACAACTTCATATATTACATCATATATTAAGATGATAGTAGTAGAATATGTCTTTTGAGTTTACTGAAAGAAAATTTAGTCATTAACACGAAATTAACTCAGGGGGCGTTTGGTTGAGGAGAATTTTTTTGAATAATAGGATAATGTAATTGATACAGAAGTGGTTGAAAAGTGAGTTTGGTAGGAAAATGTAAAAAAAATTGTTTGGTTGAGTAAAAATTTACCAGGAAAATTATGTGAAATTCTTGAATGTGTGTTTGGTTGAAGATAAAATATTGATGGGTAAATTTAGTGAAATTACAAAATAACCCTCCGACTAAATAACCCTTTTATTTTACAAACTTATTGACCCAACGGCAACATCCACAACGTCTTTCTCTGTCTATGTTTGCCATCTCTGTCTCTTTTCCACTCCGTTTCCGTCTCTGTTTATGTTTGCCATCTCTCCCACTCTCACGCTAGTTGCGCCAAGTTGACGCCATTAGCGTCAACTTCAAGCTAATGACGCCAACTTTGATGTTAAAAGCCAAGAATTTAACGCAAGGTTGCGCCAAATGAAGGAGAGTCACTGCAATCCCACGGGAATGGCGTGGAAATGAAGCTAACAACGTCGGTGATTTGAAACAGCATTTTGTGTTTGCACATTCTTCTTGCACCTGTTGAAGCTAAGAAGGAGGGGTATATTTGTCACCCCATTCTCCACCTTTTTCACATATCCGATTTCCTAAACCAATACCACCTGTTGAAACGGCTTCTTCAACAGTGCTCAAATCCAATTTTTACACTTCTTCTTGCATTGCAGGGCAAGTGGGTTTGATGGGCATATTTTCCAAAAATCCCCAACCAAACGTGGTTTACTCAGATTCCCACATGCACTTAGCCAGCAAAGTTTTAACTTCTCCCCAACCAAACACTACCTCAATGTAAAACCAAAAACCCACTCACTTCCAAAACAACTTCAAGGGCAAGGCAAGAACAACGTTGTGCTTCTGAAGTCATGCATGGCAGATGTTACGGATAATAAGCGGCCTTCCGCATAACGAGAGGGGTGGGGTCCCTCTCTGTCTTCACATTGTGGTATGACTTATGAGCAGTGTTTTAAAACTCGAACCGGTCGAGGTACTGGGTTGCTGGGTCATTGGTTCAACCGGGTTGAACCGGATTTACTGTTCACATATTAAAAGTATAAAAATATTACTTATATTAATAAAAATTCACATAAGAAAACTATTAATGAGCTTCAAAAAATAAATTGATTTTTAATGATAGCAAATATTATATACTTGTAAGCTTCTAGCTCTAAACCATATCCTAATATTGGATTAAAATTGCAATATAAGTTAAATGCACCTTTTGTGCTTGACATGATACGAATAAATTAAATCATGATAACAAATAGTATGCATGAAATATACACTAAGAAAAGAGTGTCACCGTTATCATGATAACAAATAGTATGCATGAAATATACACTAAAAAAAAGTGTCCATCGTTGAGATGAGATCATGAGACCATCAGTGTTTATCACCACTTAACTTCATGAGATCATTATAAGATGCAACTAAATTACATAAACGAACTACACTAATCTAAAATACCTTATTATTTTCACCTTACTTTTGATCATATTCATAATAAAATATGAATATGATTTAATTCAAGAGTTCTTATCAACAAAAAAAAAAAATTTACCAAAAAAATAAGAAGGAATAATCGGTCTAACCCGAGTCACCAGGTCAACCGAGTTTCTACCAGGTCAACCGGTTCAATCTGGGGAACTACACTAATCTAAAATACCTTATTATTTTCACCTTACTTTTGATCATATTCATAATAAAATATGAATATGATTTAATTCAAGAGTTCTTATCAACAAAAAAAAAATTTACCAAAAAAATAAGAAGGAATAATCGGTCTAATCCGAGTCACCAGGTCAACCGAGTTTCTACCAGGTCAACCGGTTCAATCTGGGTTGACTGCAGAAACAATCCATCTACCTGCTCGGACCGAAAAACCCACCGGATCATCAAGTCTCGGGTCGACCCGTCGCCGAGTTTTAAAACACTGATTGTCAGTTTCCATTATCCAATCAATCCGTCAAAATAAATAAATAAAAATAATTGACTACAATTATATTATAGACCATAAAAGAAGTAATGATTATTCTCCAAAAAAAGAAGAAGTAATGGCTTCAAATTTCAATACTAAAAAATTATTAATTTGTCTAGCCATTTCATCTGCAACATCTACTCCTTCGTCTTCCTCTACACTATTCTATTCTATTAATCAATCATCATTCATCCACCATCCATCCACTTTCTCCAACCTACCTTTCTAGATCTCTCACCCTGTTCTTTTTCTCTCAGATCCTTTTGCTCCGTGGTTATTTTTGGATGTATATCAACTTGATCTTTCTTTTCTTTTTTTCCTTGCTAGAAAGCATTTCAATCTCAAGGTATTTATTGGGTTCTTATTTGAATTGTTCTTCCATTGTTTTATATTACAAAGTTTTCATCTTTTTAGATTGTAGTGCCTGATTTGCTTGGTTTACACTTTACAGTGGATTGCATTGCGGATTTTCATTTTTCTACCCTTGAGACCAACATTCACAAAGGTCCTGAACATCAAGGTAACCATTTGTTATCATGTTCTGTTATGTGTCATGGCATATATTTATTTATTTATTTTTCAAAGATTTTGTTTTTATAAACTTGAGTGAAATATTTTCAAGTTTTTCGTTTTTATAAATCACTTATGATCTTCATCTTTTTTTTTTTTTTTTTCCATTCTCTATTGGCTAAATATTCAGTTTTGATTGCACATAATCATGTCTTTTTCATTAGAGATCATCTTGCGCTCAAATTTTTAATGGACATTCATGGGGAGTTGTTTAATTTGAAATTGGTTAATATATCCAATGTTGCATATTTGCATCAGGAAACTTGCCCAAATGTTTGTTCTGCATAAGAATGAGTTCCCTAGCTATTTTATATGATTGGATAAGGTGAATATTAGGTCCTCTTTTCCGGGATTTTGTTGTTGGATCTCTGTGCAACCCCAAGGCTTTACTGCTTTTATTTGTGATTTATAGTCAACCCCAAAGATCATACCAGAGGTGGTGGAATCACCCAGACAGAGATATACAGAGCACATGGCAATGCATTTCGGGTAGTTATCCTGAAGATAGCATAACAACCTGAAATGCATTGCCAAGTGCTCTGTGTATCTCTGTCTGGGTGAATCTAACACCTTTGGTGTGATCATTTGGGAATCCCAGCAGCATCTCATATTGATCTGGTTCTAGAGGTCCCACTTTGTTTTTCCCATTCCCAACCAAGTTCCCCTTTCTACGCTCTTTAAGTACATTCTGTTGGACACATATGCCAATTTCTACACTCTTATGACTTCCTTTTCTATTCTTCACTTGGCCTTGTGTTGGAAAGGAAGCAATGAGGTGTGCCAATTTCTAATTTTCTATGGATTAATTAATAAAAAATGATCAAAAATGGGGAAAAGAGCATATATGCCAATTTATGGGAATGCTATATATTTTCTCTGTCAGTTTATCAACTGATTTAATGGATTTTGGTGAAATTCAATAATTTTTTTGGGGAATTCATCATGTCATTGTACTACTTCTATGCTTTTTTTTTTACTTATTTGAAATTGGTTATATGAAGGTAAGCCTAGAGCAGTGTTAAAGCTGCTCCTTTGTAATTGAAAAATTATGATTTGAATCCAAGAAATAGGCTTTCATGTCATATAGTTTAAATTATTCTATTGATGTAATTAATGGTGCTGGAATATTTGCTGTTAGTGTTTCATAATTTAAAATTTGATGGCAAGTTCTCCCTTTTTTCCGTCCCTGTAGATAATTGAAGCTTAAATAGTTTTCTTTTAAAGCTACATAAGTTGATTTAGGCAATCAGATTTCCTGGGATAATGTTGGGGGGCAACGAGAGAAATCCTGTGCTTCCTGTTTTTCTGGACGGGACTCAATTTCAGTATCAAGCTAATGTGGCAAATCAGCTGCAGTTGTTTGGAAATTGTGAGTTTTCTCCTTCCTTTTGTCATGTGATTATAAATTTTTTCATTGAATGCTGTTGTTAAGCAGGGTATCTCTTCTTTGTTTTGCTGTCCTTATGCTTTTGATTGGAGTATGTTTGTCTGGTTAAATGCGTTTAAAGTTACTTGGTTTTATGTTCTTTTTCTGGGTTTTTACTCAAGTGTCACCTTCCATCCTTTACTTTCAACTATTCTTTCCTCCTTTATTCATTGTTGCAACAGGCACAATGACTGCATCTTCTCTCTTTTGTTGAATAAGGGTGGAGTGCAATATTCATAGGTTATGAACTTGTCTTGTTTATTGCACGTGTGCATGTTTTGCTTGTGTGTATTGTATGTATGTGCGCCTGAACTTGCAGGACATGGTCAATGCTGATTTCTGCACCTACTTATCCTGCATCCTTTATCATGTATTTTGATGTTGGAACACAAGAATGGTAATGGCCCTTGACATGGAATTTGTATTTCTTGTAACAAGAGGCCTTTTTCGTTACTTGTATCATGTACTGTATCCAACCTACAAACTGATGATTGTTTATAATTGCTGTTGCTAGCTGTGATATTATTATGTTCTGTTGTAAAATGAGAAATTATTACTTGTTTGTTACAGATTACGCAGTTCCTTAAATAACCATTTCAATTAATTTTTGTTTCCTTTGATAATTCCTGTACTTTATCTGTGGTTTTAAATTATCACTGAGTGATGAACACACAATTTCTCTTGCAGTACAAGCTGGATGTAATGTTGATCCAGTTAATTACTTCGGAAATGAGCATATCGGTTCCATGATTCAGCCTAATAAGCGAGGCAAGGAAATGGAAGATATCTCAAAGCAGCAAAGGCTTCAGATTTCCTTAAATTACAATGTCTATCAAGATGATGCTGATCGATCAGCAAGTATTCCAAACCCTAACCCGGTGTCAACAGGATTGAGGCTTTCGTATGATGATGATGAGCGCAACTCATCTGTTACTTCAGTGAGTGGCAGCATGACTGCCACGCCTTCTGTCATATTGTCCCTTAGTGACAATATCAAAACAGAGTTTGATAGGCAACAGGAAGAGTTGGATCAGTATATTAAACTTCAGGTAATCTATCATTTTATCTCTTTGTTTTTTTATTTTGTGATGTTGGTTGTGGGAGGTCTTCGGGGTGCAAATTATTCATGTTTGAAATATTTCTGCTCATTAGAAAGGTATGAATGACTAATCTGTGGCTTAATCCAATTCGAGAAAGAGGAAATTGTAAACATTCTTTCCATTTATGGTTGATTAATTCTGTTTATATGGGTGGTTATTTCGTATTTATGAACCCTGTATATATGGGGAATTTGTGATAAATAGGAGAGAAGGGGATCTCATTAGATAAACTATTGATTTTTATGCTACACCAGTTACAGTAATACAGAAGCCATCCATTTCCGTTTATTTCCTTTATTGTTCCTTTACTCTCTGATCAAATCCTATCATTTTTCTTTATCAGCTTGCGTTTGTATCCTGCTTTTTCAAATATATCATTATGCAGTCATTTTGGGTATACTTTTTTTCCTTTTGTTGGTAGGCCTTTCATTGCCTTATTCATCGGGCATCACTCTCTTGAAGAATTATTTCTTTTTGAACACTTTACCTCAAGTGTTTAAAATATTCAGCGAGTCAGGGTGACTATTTTGGAGCCTGTAATTTTTTTACTATTTCACAAAGATATATAGAACTAGAAATTATACTTCGATTATTTAATCATCAATTTTGTATGATTCTTGGTTTGGTTATTTTGCACTTTTTTCATGTTATTCCAATTCATTTCTACACAGAAGGAACAATTGTCCAAAGGAGTAAGAGACATGAAGCAAAAACACATGGCTTCTCTTTTTACTTCCATTGAGAAAGGTATTAGTAAGAAGCTAAAGGAAAAAGATGTGGAGCTAGAGAACATGAACCGTAAAACTGGGGAACTAGCAGAGAGATTAAAGCAAGTAGCCATTGAAGCACAAAACTGGCACTATAGAGCAAAGTATAATGAGTCAGTTGTCAATACGTTAAGGAATAATCTCCAGCAGGCAATTTCACAAGGAGTTGAGCAAGGTAAGGAAGGGTTTGGAGACAGTGAAGTTGATGATGCTGCCTCATACATAGATCCCAATAACTTCATGAGCATTCCAGGTATGCCTGTCAAATCTACTTACAAGAGTTACCAAGGAATGGAGAATTTGACTTGCAGAGCATGCAAGGCAAAGGAGGTTTCCATGTTGTTGATACCTTGTAGGCACCTGTGCTTGTGTAAGGACTGTGATGGATTTATCAATGTTTGTCCTGTTTGTCAACTTATAAAAACTGCAAGTGTCGAGGTTTATCTGTCTTAACTTACAAAAGGGTTAGTACTTAAAACTAAAATGGAATAACTGTTTGCTTTGTGTGATTTATCTGGCCAAGTTCTTAATTTTCAAGTAAAAAGTACTTGTCAATATAAAAATCTACTACTTCCAAGGATATTTCTACCCAAGTTTCTTGTGTTTATAGGCTACCTTCTATCCAAGGATATTTTATATTCTCTTTTTCGTTGAACTTTACCTGATTACTGATGTCATGCATTCATTATTATGTTATGAACAGAGAAATAGGTGGAATATAAAGATGCCCTGGCTTCAATGGATGTTCATGAAAAGGAAAAAACATCTGCAACTTCATTTAATACATTAAACTCTTCGTTTCTCCTCTAACTCTCTCTGTGCTCATAAACGCAAGCACGCGCTTTGTGTTTCAAGAAAATACAGCAAGAAACCCAAAACTTCTTAGTGATGGTATGTTAGCTGTTCTCTCTCTAAATTTACTATTTCTCAGCCATTAAACTTGATTTTTTTAATATTTATTGACCATATTTATTAATTACAAGTTTAGAATATTAATTTATGTATTTTTTTTCTCGTTTATCGATTTTTTGGTTGAAGAATTAAATAGCATTCACAAGGTGCTAACTCTCAAAATAACTATGATTCGAACACTGGAGCTTGACGTGTTTGACACATAATGTGGTGATAAATTGTGCATCCAATAATTTTGCTAAGATTTCAGCACTACAAAGTTAGAAAGATATACTTCATAATAATTTTTGTACAAATAAACTCATAAAAATGTACAAAAAATTATTATAAAGTATATGTTTCAAACTTTATAATGTTAAAATTTTAGCAAAATTATTGTAAAGTAATTGGATGAATAATTTATCACCACATTTTGTCAATAGCTTCCTTGACTAGAAGATGGCATGCCAAACACCTCAAGCTTGACATCAGTCTTCAAAACGTAGTCATTATGAGAGCTAGCAATTTCTGAATTCTATATATTTTTTCAACCAAAAAATTTAATAAAAGAGGGGGGAAACATAAATTAATATTCTAAACTTGTAATTTATAAATCTTGTCAGTAAATATTAAAAAAATCAAGTTCAATGGCAGAGAAATAGTAAATTTAGAGAGGGAACAACTAAAATACCATCACCAAGAAGTTCTGGGTTTTTTGCTGTATTTTCTTGAAACACAAGAAATGCAGTGCATGCTTGCTTTTAAGTGCAGAGAGAAAGTGAGTGCAGAAACAAAGAGTTTGCAAATTAATTGATTTTTTTTTTCTGTTACTTAAATGGGTTCCAGATGTGTTTTCCTCGTTGCACAACATTATTATCTTAACGTGTCCTTAAAATGGCAAAGTTTGACACGTGAGAGGATTTAGCTTCACTCCATAGCAATCATCAAATGAGATAGATAGCATCAGAGCCAAGGCTCACCAATGGGTTGTGATACTTGTTCTAGTAAAGTAAAATTTGTTTGGTTTATGAAATTTTTTCAATATTTGAATATAAGATTAATTATTTCAAGCACAGAGGGATATTGCTTGACTCGAATTTGTTAGATAACCGATTCATCAAGTTTCAGATAAACCTGACTAGTTCGAGCCGAGTTTGATAACATTGCTATTAACCATTACTATGATTATGAACAGAGAAATAGGGGAATGCCCAGGCATAACTATTTGGTCATGAAAAGGAACATTGGTATTTTTTTATGTGAGTGCAGATTTTCATACCATATTGACAAAATAGGATTAGCTTTGTTTTTTTTTTCATTTTTTGGATGAATATCTCCTACCTATATTTTCGGACCATTAACAGAATTACCACCAACTTATAAATCCCTTAAGCCATTTCCGCGGTTAAAATCTGCGAAATATAATGGGCACCAACTTACAAGGGAATTAGGAATAGGACTTTGGATACTTAACGGGCCAAATTACAAGCTTGGCTTCAACACATTATTATAAATTAACTAATGCATTCTCCTATAAGGCAGGCACTAATGCCCTGACTTTACAAGGTCGGGATTTATGGGTGCGACATTTGGAAAGGTAGCCGGTTTATTTTTTATTTTTTTGAATTAAAGTAAAAAATATTGAATTTAATTTTTCCCTCCAAGCAAAATAACTATTAACAACAAAAATATAAACAATGAATAAAAGCAAGGAGGGAAGAATTATGACTGTGTGCTGTGACATTTATTTCTAAGCAATTTCCCTATTACACGGTTATTACCCAGCCTATATGCATATCAGTTAGCATGTGGACTGGTATGCTTAAGACGTAGTTGAAATCATATAAAACTTATTGATGTAAAGCAAAACCAGGTGAGACCAAAATAACATAAAAAATTATGACCAAAAAAATAAATAAAACAAAATTACAGAAGAATTTTCAATTTCAGATATGTATTGAATTCTCCTCCAGTTATATACTTTATTTTGAATTCTTCTCCTACAAAACTACGAGTCAATAAAATCTACCATGTACAGTTTTTGTTTGACATAGGCTCATTTCGTTGTATATCCATTACTGCCTCAACTATCCTAAAATATTCGTAAAAAAGTGAAGAGTGTTCACCCTCTAGCCCATGTCGAGTTACTCGGTTACTGCCAGAAAGGTTGTTGCAGGGGCTTCCGCCAATAATGAGGTCAAATCCACCAATATTGTTTATCCACTGCCCCAGCTGATTTAAAGAGACTTGTTGTACATCTTCAACCTCAATTAAATTTCCCCCTTGGTTGGTCTGTTCCCACCAACTTCGAAGAATATTTCTGTTCCCTTCAACTATTTCCACAGATACCACATTTTTTAGCACTATTCCAAGTCGATGCAGAGCAACCTCGGCACCTCCAATGCCAGAAAAGAGAGACAGGACATTAATGCCATTTGGAAAACGACCCTTCAACACTGAAAGATGGTAGGCAACTGTATCAACCTGAATCCAATGAGCTTTCAAATGAAACCGAGAGGTAAAATATAAAAAATAGCTTAATTTTCATTCGAACTATTTTAAATTATCACCTAATTACGGGTTATCATATCCATAACAAAGTTTGATTTTTCATCTTATCATCGTATATTCATAGCAAAACACTTTCAATGATATGCGAAAACTTAAATAGTCAGTGTAACACTCAAAACATAGCAGACCAACCTGAAATGCATTGCCAAGTGCTCTGTATCTCTCTGTCCGGTTGATGCCACCACCTCTGGTGTGATTCTTTGGGAATCCCAGCAGCATCTCATACTCATCAGGTTCTAGAGGTGCAACTTTGTTTTTCCCAACCCAAATCAAGTTCCACCTTTTACACTCTGTAAGTATATTCTGTTGGACATTAGGAGGAGGTTCAGCATCACACCCTTCAAGGTGTTTCCTTATTCTCTCTGTAGCTGTGGCAGCAGCTATGGAACCTAGAAGGCAATTGAGCGTTGTTCTTCTGTCCCACGAAGGCCAAAACATTTTAGTTGTAGGAAAAGCATCTTGGATAGTGAGCGGTGGGATAGGAAGCAGGGGCGAGCGATTGTGAATGGGAAGATTATGGATATATCCTCTTTTCCTTGTTGCAGCGCAAAAGAATTTAGAATCCACAAACTCTGGCTCAATCTCAAACAGAAAATTTGATATTTTATTCCAAACTCCTTTAGGAGCAAGAGCCACGTTTTCAAAATAGAAGTATGGTGGACCCGCTACTTCATTTGGGAGCTTTCTTGCAACCACCGGACAGAGTTCATTGGGTATACTAAATCCTCTCATCGAACGAGAGAGATGTATCATCTCCATATCAATTGCTGATGGCTTCTTCTCACTTGCCCGGTAGATTCTGCTTTTCCATTTATTGTTGTGAAGCTTCACTCTCTTACTCGTATGAGGATAATAATGATCTCTAATCTGGCAGAGCAGAAGATTTATATAACATCATTTGAGAAAAGAACTTGCATTATTGGCATGTTAACCAGAAACCTTATAACTAATTTAATAGGATTGTAAGCCACACCTTTTTATGTGTATAAACAGACGCATCACCTTTCTTTTCGGGTGGATCTTGAAGAAGGGAGTCAATTTCCTTTTCTAATTGAGCAGCACAAATGAAATCTGTCAGCTCACTGATATCGGCTTCAGGACCTGCCAAATGTTATAATTAAAAGCCAAAATATTAAAGAATCATGACCAATCAAATTTACAGATGCTACATGGAAAATAAGGAGATTGCAAGCATCCTTGCATTGCTTGTTAGTAAAGCTCATTTGTTTTCATGACAATATATTTTCTGGTGTATGCAAACCAAAGAGAAACAGAAACTTAAAATAAAAAAGTTAATAGCATATATCATATAAGAGCTACAATTATACAGTGCTGGTACCACATTTGTTTACAGCTATCAAAGCCTCCTCAAGAGGGTAACCCATATGCACAAGTATCGACAAGGTCTCATCCTTCTCTATCGTGAAGGTGTTTTCCTGCATAAAAAGGAAACAGTTAAATGGAACCTAGATACACGATATCAGCAAGACAGACCAGGCCATACAGATTAGAAAGGTAAAGAAAATCACTATATACTCGTGCAGCTACCTGAAAAAGAGTCCACTGTTATATACACTCCGTAAGTATATCTACTCAACCATGAAAATAATATATCCATTGACTGCAAAATTTTACTCTTTCATATTGAGTATGACTCATACTTCGCATTCTGATGACAACTCTTATTGACGAGACGCAGAGAAAGCCAACAGAGTCCATGGTACTACTGTGGGCCTTATGTTCATTTTATTTTTATGTTTTCTAGTAGTTTGAACTTGAACCCATGAATAGCTACTTGTTTCTTAGGGTTTTTAAGTCCATTTATATTCTTCTTGTAAATAGAGTCTTTGTAACGAGTGCAGTGAAGAGAATATAGTGAAACATTGCTAGACATAGCCCACGTTGGGTGAATTAAGGTAAATCTGTATCTCCGTTTTTTCTTCCCTTCTCTCTTTTCTGTTTTGCTATCGTGAGTGTGTGATTATTCGGTCCAAATATTTCATACAACAGATATATGTTACCAATTAGGCAATTAGTTAAGAGAAATAATATGCGGATTCAGCATTAGATGTACCAAAATTGATTTATCGACCTTGTATGAGAAAATTGAAAGCCATGTACAGATAATAAAGAACCTTATATTATTTTTAAACCTCTCACCTGGCAATAGTGGTAGACTGGTAATTCTATGACACGATTGGTTTTCTTACTATACTTTTTTAGTTCCTTCTTACTCTAATCCGCTGTGCATCTCAAATGTGTCTAAATTAATGCTGGTTTTATTTTCTTATTGTAGCTATTTCATGTTCAAGACGAGTGACAATAAGCCTATCAAGCTCGGTACAGAAAAGGACTCCTAAATTGAATGATTCCTAGAGTCCGGTTACTCATAAGAATGCACAATACTATGATGATAGATCAATGAAAAAGAGTGCAGTGCTTTATGTATATTTAAGTTAAACAGAGTAGAGGAAAATGATAATACTTAATTACAAGGAATAACGAATTGCAATTACAAGGAAAAACGTGAAGTTCTAGATTGTATCATTGATAGAAATGATAAGAAAGAATATCATAGGGGTATAAATCTACCTCACTTCCGGGACAACTATCCTCGTCAGAGAAGTCAATTGGTATATCAGTTTTCTCAGCAGAAGCACTTGGCTTACTGGAAGCTACTGACAGAGGATCCTCTGGTGTCTGCAAGCTCAAGGATGTTAATAAAAAAAATGTAGTCTTATATACGGAAGACAGTGATCTAACATGCTGGACAGTCCATTCATATCAAATTCTTGTACAATGTCTAGTCATTCACAAATAGAAACTTAATCAGATTTTAATCTGTGACAGATAGTCAATTCATATTATGATGTCCATCTTTCTACTACAATTGTAGCATTTCAAAGGGTAAAAAAAAGCCTTGTTTAAGGTAGAGGGAGCTTTGAACTTGACATTAGGTCACAAAAGCAATTAACATGTGAAAGATTGAAAATCTGCCATAAGAATAATACTTAAATAACAAGTTTATCTGAATCAAAACCATAATTTATGTGAATCACTGGTTCACAAGACAATGGTACATGGGCAAGAAGGTAAAATACTAGGCGACTGATATAGAGTTACTTACAGCAGTAAGTGTTAGCAGAGTTTCCAAAATGTCTTCCTCATTATCTTCTCCTACCATGGATTAAAACAAAACAAAATCTTATCGTTCAGGGCCAGTACTAGTAATAGTTACTAAACATATTAAACGAGAAAAACAACCATTTTCCTCAATTGCTTTGATCACTGTCTCTCTGGAAAATCCCATTCCCACAAAGAGATGAATCAGCTTGGCATATTTAGCACTCGCGGAAGTTGTGCCACTCTCCTAAACAGAACACGGAATACTTCAACCTTACAAAAAGAAGAAACTCATGCTATGTTTTCCCTAAAGAATTTGCAAGAGAGAAATGCACCAGAGGTTATAAAATTAGGCTTAAGATTGATCAACAAATTATGAAAAAAGAAAAACTGACCATTATTCACTGATTAAAGTTTGAATATAAAGATAAAAAATTATCATATAAAGTGTGGACGTAATCAATAAACCATCAGACCAGAAAAGTAAAAATAAAAGCTGAATACACGAGGGACAAGAGCAATACAAAAGTTCTTCTATAGTATTAATGATGGTGGGAATAGGATGGAATGTAAATTCTGCGTATTTTATTATAGAACGAAGTAAGGTTTTCATTCCATTATTTGAGAAGTGGACGGAATTACAAAGAGATTAGTCAATGACTCAACAATAAGTTAGTTTCATTGCTTTCCATCCCATGCTTCCAAATTGGGGGGAAGATAAATAGAGGACTTGGATGTCCAATTCCATCTCATCCTATATAATCAATCCAAATAATAACAATGTCATTCCATTCCATCTATTTTCATTAATCCAAACATATATATAACATATATGTTTATAACTTCAAGAGTCCTGTGCTGAAATCTTAGTAAACTTATTGTAACAAAAATTGGATGCGGGATTTACCACCATATTATGTCCACAGTTTTGAGGACTAGAATAGATTGGACCCGAAGATGGCATCCCAAACACCTCAAGCTCGTCATCAGTGTTCCAATCATAGTCATTCTGAGAGCTAGCACCTTCTGAATCCTATATAATTTTTCAACCAAAAAACTTAATGAAGGAGAAAAAAAAAAAAGAGATTTTTTTTTAATATTATAAACTTGTACTTAATAAATCTGGCCAGTAAATATTCAAATAATCAAGTTTGATGGCATAAAAAAAACTAATCATTGGAACTTTCCGAGCGTAGAAAACCATTCAAGTATTTACACCTGAAGAGCTACAACAAATTTGTATGGGTATATTGTAGAATGAATAATAATAAAAATTTAGAGAGGGAACATGAACATACCATGACGTAGTTAGCAGCTAACCAAGAAGTAAGAACACTCAATCAAACAGTTTCCAAACGCTACAGCAGGATCACCAAATGTATGGGTACGTGACACAATCACTGTAAAAATTAGAGGAAAAAAAAAAGAAGAGAAAAAATGAACTTCAAAACGTTGAGCTTTAATTAAGAAACTCCATTAACCATTACCAGTAAAATGTTGAAGCAGACGAAATTAACTATAAGGTCATGGAACTCTACTCTACATCAGTGTATAAAATGTAACCTAAAAAGCAATTAAAAAAAAGAAAGCTTGCTAACCACGTCGTTGTGGAACTTTGCAGGAAGCAATGCAAAACAACAAACGGAGGTGAGAAAATGACGATTACAAAGTAGAAATAAGTTTTGGGTTTTCTTGAAATAGAAGAAAATGCAGTGTGTGGCGTGCTTGCTTGCTTGCTTTGAAGCGCAGACACAGAAGAGAAACGGAAGAGTCACTCACTAATCATTGACAGCGCCAAACGAGCACGCTCTAACTAAATGCGCAGTGCGCATCTTTACATTTAATTTAGTTTTAGAAAATTGATAATAATAGACTTTCTTGTAATTTTTTTTATCATGATGAAATAAAATGTTTACCTAATGTCAATTTAGATTATTTAGTGAAATTAGTGTAATGTTTTATTTAATATTAAAGAATGTGTTCAAAAATATTAGAATATTTATTATTTTATTTTCTAACTTTTAAGCCTCGTCTCATTAACAAGATATGATAGTTAAAATAATACTATGAGCCTGTTTGGATTTTTTTTTTTAATTAAAAGTTACTTTTAAGCTAAAGTTAAAAAAAAAAAAGTTAAAAGTTATTTTGATTACATAAAAAATTAGTCTAAAAGTTACTTAAAAGTACACATATTTCAAGAAAAACTTATCTCTCTCAATCTCTATGTCTCTTCATTTAAAAAAAATGAAGAGAGCACATAATTCAAAAAAAATTGATAAGAGTTTAAGAGCCTGTTTGGATCTTTTTTTAAGCTAGAAGCTACTATAAGCTAAAATTAAAAAAAGAGTTTAAAAAAAGCTAAAAGCTGTTTGTTAATTACATAAAAATTTTAGCTTAAAGTTAGTTAAAAGCACATATTTCAATAAAATTAGCTTTCTCTATCTTTACAACTCTTCATTTAAAGAAAGAGCACATAATTCAAGAAAAGTAAATAAGAGCTTAAAAAAAGCTCATCTAGGAGTTTTTAGTTTTTTTCTTCATTATAAAAAAAAGAGCTTTTCATTATAAGAGTTTTTCTCAAAATCTTTTTAACCTAGTTTATGCTTATAAGTAGCTTCTAGCTTAAAAAAGAGAGGATTCAAACAGGCACCATATATAGCTCCTTTTAATTAGGAGCTTTTGACTTCTTTTTTTCATTATTATTTTTTTCTTCATTATAAGAACTTTTCTCAAAACCTGTTTGGCCTAACTTCTACTTTATAAGAAGAAAAAAAGATAAAAATAAAATAATTCAAATGGGCACTATATAAAATAGGAAGACATTGTTTGATGAGCTTGTATTACATCCTACACAATTTTATCTTACCATCGCTTCAAAACTTATTCTCATTTTAAAAATATGATATAAGTAAATAAAATTTATGTAATTTTTTAATTTGATCTTTAAACTATTATTTTTCTTTTTATTTAATTATAAATTATGTTTTAAAATAAAATATATCAAAATATAAAAGAAAATAATATGTGGTGTGGGCTTTCCATGTATTGTTACTTCAATCAACTGGCCTTTCAATCATAGTGATGCAAATTTCAATTTTTTTTATCGAATCAATATCTTTGTAAAATAATTTACTATAATAATACAGTAAGACATCCATAGGGTTATGTATATTTAAGTCATATAGGTAGTGGGTGATGCATGTTTGTGCAGGGGCCAATTAGCGCTTGTTATGTGACGCGCATTATAGACATGCATAGGGTGTAAATAGTGCAAAAAACTAACAAATATACACAAAACACTAACATTTCACAAAATTGTATCGTTTAAAATGAGAAACGTTTTCTCACCTTATTATCCGTAAAATATCATGTCTATCTTCCAACCGAAAACTACACTAAGATTCCTAAATCCTAAGTCCTATCTAAGGGGAAGAACAAAAAATTGATGGATCACAATATAATGAGACATAAAATATTGACAATGGTGATTACCAGGAAAATCAAATGCAGTAGACAATTTTATTTTAATGTATTCTCCCATTATCATTTATTTGTACGTGAACCTTTAAAATTCTCTCATACTACCTCGTGTGAGATCATCCATTCATACTTTCATAGTGAAAGGGATCTTAATTCATTTACATTCTAGCCATAGAACTGCAACCAAGACTAGACTTCAAAATTTCTTCGAAATGGAAGCATATACGAGTTCAAAACTATCCCAAATTAGACATACATGTAGAATATAAATTAACACGTGAAAGAAAAATCTCAGCATTCAAAGCTACACGTAAATCACATCTTTCACTTCCCAGCAACAGTAACAATCTACAGCAGTTACATCACAGGCAACGTTCTATAGCATGACACATAGCACATTAAGTTAACATGAATTCCTAGAGTCAAATCCATAATGACCCATTACTAAATTTCACAGAATCCCCGCTCAAAACTCTAAATTTATGAAAACCCTCCACTCAAATGAAAAATAAAAAATAAAAAATAAAAAATCAACCAAGCCCCGAGCCCAAAAAAGAGAGAGAATGTATCGCATTACCTTGAAATTAGATTAAAAACAAACAGAAACAAAAGCCAGATTGTGTCTCATCTCAACTTACGGAACCAACTTTTTGGGCATAACCCCCAAAACCATGAGGGGAAAAAAAAAGCTCTTGTGTAAAAAACAGGAAAAGGGTAACTGAGAAAACAACAAAATCAACACCTGATGAGGAGAAAGCAAGCATCTTGCTTGCAAAAGTTGCCGTAAAACCAACGGTAATTTTCATCTCCGAACAGGGGTAAATCAGTCCACAAAAAGCACTAAAATGCAGAGAAGGTGGAAAGAATAAGGAGATGGAAAATAAATAAACATGGTTGGCGCTCTCACCTTTTCCAGATTTTACCTCGGTAAGAAGAGTAACGTGTGAAGTTTCCAATGGTATGCCCTACGTGGTGCTAGAAGTGTATCTTGGGAAAATGATAAAATAAGTCAACATTGTATCAACAAATAATAAATGAGAGCAGAGTATTTTAAATTATATCAACCAAGTGGGCCCTTAGAATATACGCCCTTATCCATAAAATGAATCAATAGGATATTTATATAAGTAAACAATGAATAAGAGAATATTTTAGTTCTCATTTCGATGAGTTTTTATTCTTAAAAAAATTGTTTTTTTTTTAAATAAAGGTCATATAGAGAATTTTTACATATTTGGATAACAATTTTTTAAAATTTAAAATAAAAGTTAAAATACTACTTTTTTTGTAGTCAATAGTTAGTTATTTTTGAAAAAACATAAAATAAAAGATAATATAATTTTTTTTGGAAAAATATAATATAAATTTTGAAAATATAATTTTAACCTCATCCTATCATACTTATTTTATCTCTTCTTATGCCATGATTACGTTATTTTATCTCTTATTTATTGTTATTTTATATATAAAAAATGCTTTTTTATTTTAACATCCAAATAATTTTTTTATGTAAAAATGATTTTAAATCATACACCCAAACGTAAAATAACTTTACCTTTTAAAAGAAATTCTTTTAAAAAA